AAACAATCTGATTTAAAATGGGCAAAGGATCTGAATGGAAATTTTTCCAAAAAAGACATACAAGTGGGTGAGAGATATATGGAAAAGGTGCTCAACATCACTAATCATCAGGCAAATGCAAATAAAAACCATAATGATCACCTCACACCTGTTAGAATGGCTATTATCAAAAAACAAAGGATAAAAACTATTGACAAGGATGTAGAGGAAAGGGAAGCCTTGTACACTGTCGGTAGGAATATAAATTGGTACAGCCGCCATGGAAAACAATATGAAGGTTCCTCAAAAAATTAAAAATAGAACTACTATATGATCCATAATCCCACTTCTGGGATTATACCCAAAGGAAAAGAAGCAACCTACACATGCACTGACAGATGAACGGATAGAGAAAATATGGTATATTCATATGATGAAATATTCTTCAGCCTTAAAAGAAGGGAAATCCTGCTCTTTGTGACAACATGGGATGAACCTGGAGGCCATTTTGCTAAGTGAAATAAGGTAGACACAGGACAAATACTACATGATACCACTTACATGAGATATCCAAAATAGTCAAACTTATAGAAGAAGAGAGTAGAATGGTGGTTACCAGGGACTAGGGGGAGGAGAAAATGGGAGTAGTAGCCAAAGGGTACGAATTTTCAGTTACACGAGATGAATTAGTCCTAGAGATCTACTATGCAGCACAGCACCTATAGTAAACAATACTATGTTATATACTTACAAATTTGCTGAAAGTAGATGTTAAATATTCTTATCATAAGAAAGTAATAATAATAAGGAGGGCAAGAGGAAACTTTTGGAAGGGGTGGATATTATATCATAGATTGTAGTGATAGTTTCATGGGTATATATTTATCTCCGAACTCATTAAGTTGTATACATTAAACATGTACAATTTTTTTATTTCAGTTATATCTCAATAAAATGGTTTTTTAAAAGAAAAATAATAGAGAAAAATAACAGTAAAAATTTGCCTCTGAAAGTATCAACAAAATTAAAAAAACTTGTCTAGACTAAGGAAAAAGAGAAGACTCGAATCATTAAAATCAGAAAAGTGCAGATATTACTAACAACCTGACAGGAATAAAAATAATTAGAATGCTATAAACAACTGTACACCAACAAATTATATAACCTAGATGAAATAAACAAACTCCTAGAAACACATAAACTATCAAAACTGACTAAAGAATAAATAGAAAATTTGCATAGACAAATCCCTATAAGAAGTAAAGAGATTTAACTAGTAATCAGAACTTCCCAACAAATAAAAGGCCAGGACCAGATGGCTTCACTGGTGAATTCTACCAAACATTTAAAGAAGAATTAACACCATATGCAGACTAATATCACTTATGAATATAGATGCAAAAGTTCTCACTAAAATACCAAAAATTAACTCCAACAGCATATTAAAAGGATTATAAACCATGACCAAGTGGGATTTATTCTAGGAATGTAAGCGTGGTTCAAAATAAGAAAGTAAATCAATGTAGTACACCACATTAATAGAATTAATAGACTGTAATACATCACATTAATAGATCACATCTATGATCCTGTCAATAGATGCAGAAAAAGAATTTGAGAAAATCCACCATCCTTTCATGATAAAAACACTCAATTAACTGTGAATAGAAGGTAGCATCCTCACCTGATAGAGTGTATTTATGAAAACCCCACAGCCATCATTATACTCAATGGTGAAAGAATGAAAGATTGCCCCCTACGATCAGGAACAAGCCAAGGATGTCTGCTTTCACCACTTCTATTCAACATTGTACTTGAAGTTCTAACTAGATTAATTAGTCAATAAAAAGAAATAAAAGCATCTAATTCAGAAACAAAGAACTACAACTGTCTCTATTTTTAGATAACATGATCTTATGTATAGGAAATCCTAAAGAATACATGAAGAAAGTCTATTAGCGCTAATAAATTTGCAAAGTTGCAGGATACAAAATCAACACACAAAAATCCGTTGTATTTCTATACAATAGTGAAAAAAATTCAAAAAAAATTAGGAAACCAATTCCATTTACATAGCATCAAAAGAATAAAATACTCCGGAATAAATTTTAGCAAAGAGATGAAGACTTGTGTACTGAAAACTATAAAACGTTGCTGAAAACAATTTTAAAATATCTAAATAAACAGAAAGAATCTCATGTTCATGGATTAGAAAACTTTAAATCGTTAAGATGGTAATATTCTCCAAAGCAATCTATAGATTCAACGCAATCCATATCAAAATCCCAATGGCCTTTGTTGCAGAACTGGAGAAGCCAATGCTAAATTCCCCCCATACAGAATTGCAAGGGATCCTGAATAACCAAAACAATCTTGAAAAAGGGCAAAGTTGGAGGATTCATGCTTCTCAATTTCAAAACTTACTATGAAGCTACAGTAATTAAAACAATGTGGTACTGGCATAAGGATAGATATAAAGATCAATGAAATAAGAGTGTGAGTCCAGAAACAAGCACATATATCTATGGTGTATTGATTGTTAACAAGGATGCCAAGAATATTCTATGAGGGAAAGAATAATCTTTTTAACATATTGTGCTGGTACAACTGGATATCCATATATAAAAAGATAAAGGTAGACTTTACCTCACACAATATACAAAAATTAATTTTAAATGGATCAAAGAACCAAATGTAAGGGCTAAAACTATTAACAATTAGAAGAAAACACAGAGGTAATTCTTCATAACCTTGGGTTTGTCAATGGTTTCTTAGATATGACGCCAAAAACACAAGTAACAAGATAAATTGGACTAATCAAAATTAAAAACTTTTGTGCATCAAAGGATACTTTTAAGAGAGTGAGAAAACAACATTCCCTGTAGAATGGGAAAAATACTTGCAAATCATATATCTGATAAAGGTCTACTATCCAGAATATACAAAAACTTCTACCACTCAAAAACAAAAACACGAACAACACAATGTTAAACAGAACTTGAATAAACATTTCTCAAAAAAGATATACAAATGGCCAACAAGCATAAGAAAGGATGCTCAATGTCTTTAGTTATTAGGGAAATCCCAATCAAAACCACAATGAGATACCACTTTATGCCCACTAAGATGAGTGTAATCAAAAAGAGGAACAAGAACAAAGTCTTGGTAAGGATGTGTGGAAATTGAAACCCTCATATATTTCTGGTGGGAATGTAAAATGGTGCAACCACAGTGGAAAACAGTTGGTGGTTCCTCAACAAATTAAACATAGAATTATAATTTGACCAGCAATCCTGTGAATAGGTATATGCCCAAAGAATTGAAAACAGTTGTCCAAATAAAACTGGCACATGAACGTTTATAGCAGCGCTATTCACAATAGCCAAAAACCCCAGTGTCCACCAACTGATAAATCAATAAACCTAATGTAGGATATTCCTGCAATGGAATACTAATCAGCCACGAAAAGGAATGAAATTCTGATACATCCTACAATGTAGATAAACCTTGAAAACATTATGCTAAGTCAGAGAAACCAGAAACAAAAGGCACATATTGTATGGTTCCACTTATATAAAATATCCAGAATAGGCAAGTCCATAAAGACAGAAAACAGAGACTAGGGGGAAGGTAAAACGGGGGGTAAGTGCTTAATGGATACAGAATTTCCTTTTGGGTGAAGAAAATATTCTGGAACTAGATAGTGGTGATGGTTGAACAACATTGTAAATATGCTTAATACCACTGCATTGTATACTTTAAAATGTTTAAAATGGTAAATTTTATGTTATATATATTTTACCACAATAAAAAAATAAATTTTAAAATCCTTTGACTTTCTCACAGTTTTCTGTAAGTCAGAATTGGAGATGTGAAATAGATCCTACCTCTTGCTAGGAGGAATATGAAAGAGTTTGCAACCATGTTTAATCCTCTACACTTAACTTGGGATGATTTAATAAAACTTTCTTTTATTGATCTATTTCCTTCATTGTGGATTTTACAGGGGTGTGGTGGAAAAGGAAAAGCCTGGTGATATGTTTGTACTGTGATGGCAGTAAGCTTTATTCTTTTGTAAAGCAGAGGAAACATTCACTGTAATTTTACTAAATACTACTAAAAATTTTACCAAGATTAGCAAGAGGGCCAAGACCAAGCTTTTATATTTTAGTAATTACAAAACCCCAACTAGACAACTTCAGTGCCTTCCCTTAGATTAAGTTCGATTTCCAAAAATAAGTTTTCAAATCATCGGAAATTCTTCTTAAGGGAATAAATATGTTAAGGTTATATTGAAGTGTTTTGCGACAATTTAAGGAAACAAATATGAATTAGAAAAAATTATTTAAAAGTCAGTGGATTATGCCAGGAGTTTAAAATGGTATTTAAAAAAATATTTGTATCATTAGCAATTATGTTATATTAAATGTTAGTGAATGTTAATAATAGTTTTTAAAATTAGTAACTATTCATTTGAATTTATATATGCTTAAAATTGATATATCATGAAAATACCATCTTATTTAACCATCTGTCATTAATTCATATGTGCTGTCTTGCTTGTGGGGTTTGATGTAACGTTACCTGATAAAATATAGAACATCCAGTTAAATACCAATTTCAGAAAAAATGAATAATTTTTAGTATGTTTCCTATGCAATATTTGGGATATAATTCTATTAAAATATTTACCTGAAATTCAAATTTAAGTGAGCATCCTATATTTTATCTGCCAAATTTGACAACTCTGGTTTAATGCTAAAAAGAAGTATAATTTTATGTTAAAGGTATTTAAAGGTTGAGGGAAGGTTTGCAGGTTTAATTTCTATTTTAAATATTATTATTTATTTAAATTTGTTTATTATATATGAATATATGCATATATGTGTATAAGATACATACATGTCCATATATATATGTGTGTGTGTGTGTGTACACGTGTACCGCTGAGTGAAAATAGATACTACTGGAGACTGCAGGCACCTTGGGTACTGCTGTAGCCAAAGGCACATACTTATGGCCCTCAGAAAAATCCAGTGTGATGCTTTAACTAAAGCTGAGATGAATGATGAAGTCAAATTTTACCACATTGGGATGCTTATGTAGAATACAATAGTTAAGACAAACAAATGTTAAATTTTAAAATTTATTTAAATCTTTAATAACTATTTTAATCTACATGGCTACCATAACAAAATACCCTAGACTGGGTGGCTTAAATAGCAGAAATATATTTCCTCCCAGTTCTGGGAACCAGAAGTCTAAGATCAGGGTGCCAGCCTGGTTAGTTTCTGGTGAGAGCTCTGTTCCTGGCTTGCAGTCCACTATCTTCTCTCTCTACCCTCACATAGCTTTTTTTTTGTGCATGCGTGGAGAGAGAGAGAGAGAGAGACAGACAGACACAGAGACAGAGAGCGAGCGCTCTCTGGTGGCTCTTCTTATAAGGACACTGACCCTATCGGATCAGAGTCCCACCATTATGACCTCATTAACCTTAATTACTTCCTTAGAGGCTTCATCTCCAAATACGGCCACACTGGGGGTTAGGGATTCAACATATTAATTTGGGGGGGCGGGGGAACACAAGCATTCAGTCCATAACAATAACTAAAATGAATTTATATTTAAAAGTGACTGAAAATTTATGTAACAGACTGAAATGTCATTAAGAGAGTCTACTATCTTGTGGGATAGAGGGAGTTTTGTGGAGAAAGTTACAGAAGTTGTTGAAAAAATAAGGCTATAATATGTTCATATGCAAATGAATTAGGATACTTCAAATCCATCCGATTATATGTATAACTGTCTTGCCTATGTAATTTTGTGATTTGGTTGTAAAATATAATAGCATAAACTGTTAAGCCATATTGTTATTCCAAGCACTCTGAAAACTAAAGACCTCCTATGAGGCATATTACAAAAAGAAAGTAATACATTCAAACACAATGTCTCCTAAATGTTGCAGGGCCTCCAGACTACCTTCTTTCATATAACACACCTTATATGCTATAACTAAGTTATAGATCAAAAAATTTTTTATAGATGGAAAGATCTTTAGAAATCAATCTAGTCTAACATTATTTTCAATTGCATAGAATGAAACTCTTTGGATACAAGGACTTTTTCATATTTCCACTATCTATAATAGTCCTTAGCATTTAGTAAACATTTAATAATTTTGATAAAAGAAAATACATACTCACTGACTGATTGAATAAATCTGAATCTTAAAGATTGCCTAACATTTAGAACTTTAATTTCTTTATCCCTTTTACCTTTTTAAAATTCTTTCCATCTATTATTTTATTTTAACCTGTTTAGAAGTGCAGTTATAGCCATATTTTACAGAGAAGGCAACTACCATGTAAAAGGATAATTAAATGACTTGCCTAAATTACAAAGCTGAAAGACAGAATTAGGCTACCTATTCTTTTTTAACGTTTCATTGCAGCCTGAAACTTTACATTACAGCTTGGCAACCTTCACTCTCAATAACCTACTGTATACCTATAGGTTACCTGGCTAGCCCAATTTCAATATAGGACATTATTCCCTGATTTGGCTTCAGAAATTAGTTTTCTTGCTGCAGATCAGATATCATAACCAGTACTTTGATAAAACGATTCAATCTAAAGAGATGTGGAAAACTGTTTACAATCATTAAAAAAATAAAACTTGAACAGTCCTATTTGCAGTGCAGTACGTTGAGTCAGGCCAGTAAAGACAAACTGTTGTGCTTGTTTCAGCAGAATGTCTTCTCTCTCTCATTCCTGCCTGTTCTTGGTGAATTTTTCCAGTTAGAATTTCCTATGGGCTTACGGAGTTTTGAGGAGGTGGGTGATGTTTCATTGCCCTCCCCTCCATTATCAATTTCTAGTACTATTACTATTCTAGGTAAAGGACATAGATTACAACTGCTTATGTAAATTTGAGAATATGAGCACAGTATTCCAGGATCTGTCTATCCCACTATACGGTGTGTGTGAGTGTGTGTGCGTGCTATCCCAGTCAATAGCATCAATCAGTTTGTCCAATTCAGTGTTTGATTCATGCCCCCACTTTGGATAGGCTACATTAATTTTGGCTTTATATATGCAAAATCTAACTTTGCAAGTCCTTCACACTTTAATGTACGATCTTTTTTCATCTTATCTAGCTTTCTCATGAAATTATTTCAATTATCTGAAACAACAGCCTTCTCATTCAAGACTTGCTGACAATGCAAGACATGAATTTATCGTCCTATAATTTTCTATATCTCTAGGCTTGCAGAGGAATGAGCTTATCTCAGGGTAAACCTTAGAGATTCAGCCAATGGAAATATCTTCATTTATTATATCTATGTTAATTTGAAGCAGATGCAGAGCTAGTAGCTTCCGGTGTCTGTGATTACTGATATAAATGGAGAAGGAGATAACAGAGGGGAGTTAATCAAGTATTGCAAACTTGGTATCATTAGCATCCAAGTAAGAACTGCCAATTTTTCTATCATTTCATAACCAAGTCTTCGTATATATGCCAGTTTTAGGAAAAAATTTGCTAAAATCTGTACTTGAGTCATTAATCTCCATCTTTGTCCTCTTGCTCCATTTTGATGTCTTGCTTTACATGTACCTTACTCATTCTGTATGAGACTGCCTTCTTCCCATTCATCTGCGACCCCTTATTTGAGCTTGTTGACTTCATTAGAACAGACAAGAGACATAGCTTCTTATAGTTTGATTAATCAGTGATTCACATAATTTTGGAGATTTTATTAGTTTCACAGATGATAGGAGTGGAGCCTTGATGAAAATGAACTGATAAACTTTATAGGGATTGCACTTTATTAGAATGGTCTTAAGGATACATTTTAATCCAAAGGCTACCACAAAATCTCAAGCTGGGCAATGTTCACTGAGATTAGCTCCTCTGGTCGCCCAGGTTCTCATTGGGAGTCAGAATTGTGTTGGTGTCCAATGACAAAGTCCTCTGGGTCACAGGAAACCTTGAGTAGGAGCTGATCAACTCTCTTATACCACTAAATTTGTCACCCTGCAACTCAAACATAATTATCTTACATTATTACAAAAACTACAATCAATTCTTGTTATTCATGGTAGTTATGTTCTTTATTAAATAAGATGTCTCTAAACAGAAGCACACATAAAACAAGACTATGTGTTGATTGGTTGACAAAAATGTGACCACTGGCTCACAAGAACTTAATCCTGTATTTCCCCTAGGAGCAATTTTTCAATATTCACTAATTCAGTGCTCACGGTGACTTTATAGAACATATGTTCAAGACTATTGTATAGTGTATATAGTTTTATATTGTTTTTTAAAGTGACATTTTGATATATTTTCATGTTATTAAAATTTTCTTAAACAACATTTTTAGACATATGCACTTGATTCTTGTCATTCACAGCAGTTATGTTCTATAAAGTCACTGTGAACACCGAATTAGCAAATACTGAATAATTGCTCCGAGGAGAAATAAAGGAGTAAGTTCTTGTGAGCCTCTGGTCACATTTTCACCAACCAATCAATATATAACCTTGTTATATGTGTGTTTCTGTTTAAAGACACCTTATTTAACGTATGTTGTTGATTCATTAACATTGAACTCAGGGCCAACAGCACTATAACCCACGCCTGAACAAAACTTATATAACACATATTTTCTAAGGCACATTACAGCCTTCTTGCACTTAGGAACACTAGACAATAATTCAGCATTGTGTTCTGTGGCCAATTTAAACAGTAAAGTCACTAAGAAAAATTTTAAAATGTGGCACTAAAGAAACTGTGCATAGGATACTTGTTTACAGTATGATGGCTGAAACAAAAAGGCAGAGTTTCACCTTGTTCAGCCTCAGCCAGGAATGTGCACATTGGGAGACTCAAATTTTTGCTATTCTGCACATGTCCATGACTGACCTTGAGTATTGATTTTGTGGTTACAAACAAATTTTAGCAGCTGGCAAATTCGCAAATACAAAATCCATGAATATTGAGCCACAGAGTCCTAATCTGCCATTTGGGTTTTGGATCCAGTATCTTATCATGCCTTTAGGGCCAACTTGCCATATTATCTACAGGTAAAAGTGATCAGGCATCAAACATACATGGTCACATTCCAACTATATAAAAACTACCATCCAGTGGAGATGCACAGGCAGTCATCTCTGATATTACAAGGCCTGAAAGCAGTTGAGCATGGCAGTTCTGCCCACGGTCTACGACAGTATGATAGAGATCATCTGGCTCAAAATTTAAATTTAGTTCATGTGTTGTAATCACCTTGAGAGTAAAGTTCCCTTGTGGCCGCTGTCAAAATCCATTATTTATTCCTCGAAGGTCTGTTACTGGTACCTAACATATCAATTGCTTTAGTGTAAGGTGACCATGACTGCAAAAGGCTTATGTACTTCCTTTCATGGGTAATGTGTGTCCCATCTAATAGTACTATTTAAAACCTTGGTAGAGGGCCTGCCCGGTGGCTTAGCGGTTAAGTGCATGCGCTCCGCTGGTGGCGGCCTGGGTTCGGATCCTGGGCGCACACCGACGTACCGCTTCTCCGGCCATGCTGAGGCCGCGTCCCACATACAGCAACTAGAAGCATGCGCAACTATGACATACAACTATCTACTGGGGCTTTGGGGGAAAAAATAAATAAATAAATAAAATTATAAAACCTTGGTAGAAAGGCATAATTCAAGTTAAAGAAATACCATGAGCTCTGGCAAGTGTGTGAAAAAAGAGTGCTGGATTGTAAAATTAGGGAGAAGGAAGGTGCACTGTTGCTTCTCATGTCATGCTATAGCTTATAGTTTACTTGCTTCTTATGAATCCCAGATCCCATTGTGACCTGCCCTTACTTGGACGGCCATCAATTTCCTGCAATTTTCTCTTCTGAGGAGATACATTAATTTCAAGGCGATTTGTACTGGTACTGTGACCAGTGAAACTGGATGGATTCTGACCCTTAATCATTGCCAATGAATTAAAGAGCTGAAGATTGCCTCACGATTTTGAGGGACATTGCCCTTAAATTCTCATTATCATTTTTGTATCTGTTCATAAGCTGTTGTATTGTTAGAAGTTCTGCAGTAAATTATTGGTTTGAGAAGGTTTGGGAGCACAGAAATTTGTTTTCAAGTTCATGTCATTTTTTTTCTGTTTGGAAACTCATAAAAAAGACATTTTAAGAAATAGAATAAGGGGCCAACCCGGTGGCGCAAGCAGTTAAGTGCGCGCGCTCTGCTACAGGAGCCCGGGGTTCACTGGTTCGGATCCCGGACGCGCATCGACGTACCGCTTGGCAAGCTATGCTGTGGCAGCATCCCATATAAAGTGGAGGAAGATGGGCACGGATGTTAGCCCAAGGCCAGTCTTCCTCAGCAAAAAAAAAAAGAAGAAGAAGAAGAGGAGGATTGACAGATGTTATCTCAGGGCTGATCTCCTCACAAAAAAAAAAAAAGAAATAGAATAAGAACTATTCTTAGAGTTATGGAATATTAAACCAGAAACAGAAAATTTTTCCCCAACTTTATTGCATAATAATTGACAAATATAATTGCACATATATTTAAGGTGTACAATGTGGTGATTTGATACACATATACATTGTGGAAAGATTAACAAGATCAAGATAATTAACACATCCATTACTTCACACAGCTAACACATTTTTGGGGTGAGACTGCTTAAGACTACTCTCAGCAACTTTCCAGTGTGCCGTACTGAGTTATTAACTATAGTCACCATGCTGTACATTAGACCCTCAGAACTTAATATTTTTATAACTGAAGGTTTATACCCTTCGACCTACATGTCTCCATTTCCCCCTCACCCCAGCCTCTGACAACTACCATTCTATTATCTATTTCCTTGAAATTGGCGTTTTTTTCTTATTTCACATATACGTGATATCATACAGCATTTATCTTTGTCTTATTGCACTTAACATAATGTCTTCAAGGTTCATCCACTTTGTTGGAAATGGCAGGATTTCCTTCTTTTTTATGACTAAATAGGATTCCAGTGTGTTTGTGTGCGTGCGTGTGTGTGTGTGTGTGTATAATTACATTTCCTTTATTCATTCATCCATTGAAGGACATTTAGATTGTTTCTGTATTTTGGCTTTTGTGAATAATGCTTCAAGGAACGTGGATGTGCAGATGTCTCTTTGAGATAATGATTTTATTTCCTGAAATTTTATTTCTGAAGATATATACCCAGGAGCAGAATTGCTAGATAATATAATAGTTCTATTTTAATTTTTTGAGGAACTGCCATACTATTTTCCATAACGGCTATACCAATTTACATTCCCACCAACAATGTATACGGGTTCTCCTTTCTCCACCTTCTTTTTTTTTTTTTTTTTTTAA